AGCCATTTCTTCGCTGTTTTCACTTTTGTCATTACATGTTTTCTCAGCGAGCCTCCCCCTACAGCCTGGACCGTGTATTTCACAACACGTCGTAAAAACACACTCACTTGCGGCACCTCCTCCCCCTTTCTTACCGCTGCTGATGTGCTTTTTTTCGCCGGGCCAACTTTTTCGTGTGGAGCAATATCTACCGAGAATGGGTTAATACATTATACACTAACCGTTATTGAGGGCGGCGTGTGGCGTTTATGTGGAATTGCTGTAAAGCGTTCGTGTTTCTCGCTCCGTTCTCGCTTCATCGCGGTACTTCCCTATTTTCCAATTTACAGGGAAAAACGGTAGTCCAAAGTTGCAAGGTTGGTTTTCCGCCCTGGGGTCGCCAGAGGGGGGTGTCACCATTTTCAACGGAACAGGGCCATTTAACCATCAAATGATTTCTAAACGGGTTTATTAAGCTGAAAAAATAAACCTCTGTGTGTCCTCTGTGTGTCCTGCACAAGGCCACCTTCTGTGCACTGCTGCCACAAATTGTCATATTGAAATTCCAAAATGTAGAAAATAGTAGGTTGCAGCTTTATTATGGATGGCTTCTTTAATTGATTTGAAATACAATAATCTAAGATAATATTTATGTTTATAGGACACCTAAAAAGGTTGAAATGGTATGAGATTTTAATGTACAATAACCATTCCTCAAAAAATATAAATGGTATACATATTTGGTTTGTTAAGTTTTTTTGGCCTTTTCATGCCCTTTTATTGGAAGAGACAGCTGAAGATCAACCAGGAAAAGGGGGGGGTTAGAGAAGAGAGGGGATGACACACCAGCAGCTCCTACCGACTACGCTACCGGGCGCCTAGAATTACATTTTTTATAACACTAATATGGGAAGAATTCAATCCTCGCGTACGTGAGTAATTGTAAGTCCATTTTCATTTTAAAAAAGAGACGAGGGCCTGCTTCATTTTCTTTCATACAAGTCATCCATCAGTTCAATCGTTTAAGCTTATCAGAATCAGAATCAGAAATACTTTAATAATCCCAGGGGGAAATGATGACCCCCTATCAGCAGAAACGTCGACTTTAAAGAAGTGCCTTGAAATCAGTTTGTCACATTTAGTGTGCACCTAGCCTTAGCTAAACTTTGAGCCAGTATTTGTCTTATTAATCCTTTTTCCCAAGACATCCTAGCAGTTTTAATTTTAGAAATCTGCCATTCCTGGTCGCAGCTTAAAGAATAGGTGCATCCTGTCTGTCTGCTGTGAATCACTGACGTGTTTCCCATGTTGTGTGGAAGACTCATGCACCCAGCTTCAGGTGGACTGAACAACGCTGTTTAACCCTGCAGTTTTACCGTCACTTCACCATTTGAAAAGACCAGCACAAGTATCAGAATCGGTATTAGGAGGGAAAAAATGGTATGGGAACATCTCTAGTAAACATTTTCAGAATATTGTGCTTTCTGGTAGTACTGAAATGCTGCAGTGGCCCTCCTGTGAGATAACAATACCGGCAGTGGCCCCAAGACAATTTGTGTTCAATAGATTGGACTAGGATAAAACCATGTAAAATAGCTAACAGCAGTGAGTTGGGAGTAATGTGACCTGGAAGATGCAGTGTCCCTCTTAAAGCCTGAATGATGGCGCTTCTGTCAGCTCACCTCTGTTTAAACCAGTAGGCAAGCTGGTGAAATCCATTAAATTGGACAAAGAGACACAGACAGGCCTGCTGTTTAACACACACACACACACACACACAAATCAGCTGCAGAGGTAGACTCATGAAGTTAAAAGGAAGGTGTGTGTGTGTGTGTGTTCGTTTGAACCAACATTGCCTAAACACTTAAAACAAAGCTCCCTCCGGTGTGCACTTCCTGTTTGCTCCATGGAAATCATTAGAGCAGTTCCTCACATGACACAAAGTAGTCATAGTGGGATTTTTCCACACTCACTGGACAACATGGGCTACATAGAACCACTGCCTGCCTCCCAGAGCAGATGAATTCAATTGTGTGGGGGGAGTCAGAGTCCCTTTCAGTCTGACTATGTCACAAGGACCCTTGAACCAAAGCCAGTGGAGGCAAACAAACAAAGTCCTACTAGAGGACACTGAGCTACTGTTAATGCAGGATATCTGCACACTCGGAGTAGAAATGTAAGGACATTTAAGACTGTTCCAATACTAGGTTATTCTATATGTGATTCATTGATTGATCAATCAGAAAATTGTTCAGACTTCCGTGAAAAAAAAAGAAGACACTTTACTACAGTATCTGCCAAATTCAAGCAGCTAGCCTATTTGTCTGTCAGATAGACACAAATAAAGCCATCTTGAGCCAAAACAGTCAATGAAATTAAAATGTACCTGTAGCTATTACATTTTAAGATGTTTTCGGTGCATGTTAGACGCTATTACATGATAACAGCAGAAACAAATTGCTACAGCAACAACCCAGGTTGCAGCAGATTACTTATACTACACACACACACTACACATACAAAATATAGTTATTTTTGAAATAAATGTTAGTTTCAATCACAATTTATATTCAATCGCTGCTACATTTCAACATTTCCTGGAGATTTTCACAATGAAAGCCAGGGACAATTGAGCCACTGGAAGACATTTAATGTGATCTCCACAGGAGTGTGTAGGATTTAGTGGCATCTAGCAGTGAACTGGCAGATAGCAACAAACTAATTATGCTCACCTTCCAAGTGTTTAGGAGAAACTATGTTGACCACAGTGAAGTTTACAGCATGCAGAATCTATCACCACTACAGATAAACATGGAGAAGTGTTGGGTTTACATTAACAGGGGGGAACGGGACAAACTGAAGGCCTGTTTCTCTCTGCTGCTGAGTCAGTGCTCTTTATAGGCTGAAAGTGGCAAACATGTCATGTCGCCACACCCTCATCCGTGAGGTCACAGCAGGCGTTGGTCAACTGGTAATTAATTGTGACAAGAATGATTTAGGTGTGGTCAGATGTGTGACATTTTACACAGAAAACAATGAGCCTTTAATGCACCGTGAGGAGGAGGGAATCAGTCAGTGGAGGAGGACAGGGATGTAACAATCTGCAAGAGCAGCAGATGCTTCACTACTAAACCCGCCAAGTTCAAACCAGCATCTGATTGTCTGTCAGATGTTAAATAAATATTGCTATGTTGAGCCAAAACATTCAATGAAATAAAAATGTGAAATTAATAGCACAGATCACCAGGCCAACTAAACTGATGTTAGCAGTGCCCTTTTCCCCGGCGGATGTTTGTTTGGTCACTTGTTCGACAAGTGGAGGTAAAGAAAAAAAACAAGACGCATGCTCATGTTTGGAAGTTGGATTAGTCGGAGACTTGAGCAGGAAAGCTAATGTGGGTTGTTGTTTCACAGTCTGTGGCTTTAGTGTGGTGTAGCTGCTGTGTGACGTCTGCTCTGCCTGTGACAAAATGCTGACGTTCCTTGGGGTGTATAAGAAAATATCACAAAATATCATATCGCAATATCTGGTTTTGTGTAATGATCTTTGTGTTTAAACTCCCAACAACTATATAAACAGAGGGCTATGATGTAGGATGCGACAGGGACTGTGAGAAATACAAATGCAGATCCCACTGTTCTGGTTACAGTATCGTTATACTGCCAATACCCAGCCTTAGACGTTACTGTGAAAATAAGAGCTCCGTTTACTGACAAGGATGTTTCAGTTGGAAGGTTTCTAAGCTAGACATTTTATTCAGGTAAGTTAAGAAATCTTCGAAGAATTTACACGAAAAAGGTCAAAAGAAATGCGCCATCTTGGCGAAAAAAGCACAGTTTTAACCAATTCTTCTGGATACTCATAGAACCATACTATTCTTTCAGTTCAGTTCATTCCTGCAGCTTTCTTTTCAAACCAATAAGAGGCCCAACTAGTAACTTTACTGGAATATCCTGCCACATCATGAACACACCCTTTATGTTTCTTAGACATGTTGTCTTAGAAACAGTTTGTCAACAAAGCAGACAAATCCTGCACCCTGAGAACGTGGGACATTGCTGTTTCTACTGCAGTAAATGTTCCTGTAAAAAAGTTTCTGACACTGGGCACAAAGTGAAAGTTTTTGACTGAAAGACCAAGATATCGAAACATAGCGGCAAAGATAGTGACGGTTCATCTGTCTGTACATGCTACTTACATGTCTGGCCTCCCTGCGCTGGCCCTCGGTGTTTCTCAGCCAGCAGCGGCTCAGCTCGCTCAGCTCCAGGATGGGCTGGACCTTCAGCCTCACCGTGTCTCCCGACTGACGGATCATCTCCACTATCTCATCCCGGCTCTTGTTCTCCACATTCCGTCCATTTATCTCCACCAGCCGGTCGCCAGGCACCAGTCCCAGTGCCAGATCCTTGGTGCCGGCTCCCGGCTCCGCAAAGTGGACCACGCGCCTGTACACTCCTCCGTCAGGGCTGCGGTCCAACATAGTGGTGCGACGCAAAGAAAATCCAAAGTCGCCAGTGTTGCGGCGTTGGAGCTCCAGCTCGCGTGTTTCCGGTGCGCTCGGTGCGACCACGGCCGGCAGCTGCAGCTGCGCAGGGAAGGTCTTGTCAACCACTTCGGGGATACAGACCTTTTTGGTGGCCAGTGCTTCGGCCTGCTGCTTGAGGCTGTGCTTGCGGAGCAGGCTGAAAACTTTGCTCTCCACCTGCGGGGATGGGGCAGCAGAGTTCTGGCCTGAGGGGGTGGAGCCCTCTGAAGGGCTCTCCTCTTTGCTCTTCTGGGAAAAGGAGAAGCGCTTCATCATCTGACCCATCTGCGACGAGTTTTGCTTGGCAAGCGAACCAAAGTGAGCCACACGGTCGCGCACTGAGCCACGGTGTCCATCCTGTCCTCCTCCGCCCTCGCCCTTCAGATCGTCAGTGGAGCTGGCGGCGCTCAGCTGGTCGTCCAGAACCATGCTGCTTCGGTTACTCAAGCCATCCGACTCGATGTCAGTGAGGGTGAGCTCGTTGCTGCTGGCCACTTTGATTGGAATAGGGTTGGAGATCTCCAGTTTGTTCTTGGACTCACGCTTGGCCTCCCTCTTGAGGTTAAAGAAACCGCGCCGCATGCTCATCTCTTCCAGGCTGCGCAGCTCGGCTGCAGACATCCTCTCCTTTTTGTCCTTCTTCTCCTTCCGACTCCCTTCCCTCTCCTTATCCTTTTTCATCAGATTAAACATGGCGACAAGCTAAAGGCTGCGTTTCCCTACAGAGCTGCACGTCCAGTTCACTCGTCAGGCAGGTGCTTTTGTTGTGACAACAGGGACAAATCCCCTGGAGAAAGAGACGGGGAGAGGAAGCTATGTCATAATCAGAAAATACCACATATGAATGAAGAACTGTCCTTGATGTGAAGATGGACAACACTGACAATTCTTTTGCAAAAATAACAGACACGTTATTATCCAAGCAAACTTTTTGTATACATGTCTTAACACATGGCTTGAGGGGACCTTTAAAGGACCACTGTGTAGGATCTAATGGCATTTAGCAGATCTAACAGTGTAGTTGCAGATTGCAACCCCCTTGCTTCAACCTCGACTTCCATGTTCAAAGGACAAAATACAGCGGCTAAAAATGCTCCTATCTAGACCCAGTGTTTGGTTTGTCTATTCTGAACTACGGTAGAAACATGGCAGTTCAACATGTCTGTAGATACAAACAGCTCATATGCTCAGGTGATTAAACACTACTGAACAGACCTATGAATATTCTATTCCATTTCTGACCATAGATCCTCCTAAAGGTTACACACTGGACCCATCAGGTGAAACAGTCAGAAAGGCATTGTCTCTCTGGACTGTAAGGTAATGATAGAAATGTAAAAAGACACCATTAAAGATATATACTGTATGATGTAGAATTGTTAACAGGGACAATAACTACTAAAATAAGTGGCAACCATATAAAACAGCCTCCATCCCATTGTGACAGCCCATTGCATACTTTGTGAGTTAATAAAACAGCATAAGACTGAAATCAAGCAAGAACGTCATGTTTCTCTCAGAGGGCATCCCAACGTCTGCCAGTCTCATGGCCTTGTAAAATACAGACCTACATCACTGAGGACCTCCAGCACTCTGACATTACAGAGGCCCACTGGAGGAGCTTGGCATGACCAAAACACATTCCTGGCTTCATTTTTTAACTGGGTCTCTCCAAAACCTCAAAAATCAGGGACTCTGACACAGGCACAGGCAGATACACATCCTTCAGCCTGCTTCTCATTAGCTGCTGAGTGACACACAGACTCCTCTCTCCACAGGGCGCCACAGGCTGGAGTCCCAAACAAACAACCGCCTCCTGCTTTAATTATGGCATCGCTAATATTAGGCACGTAGCTCTCCTGTTGGCTAGAAATGTCATTCAGGTGTTATGAAGTGGTAACTGAATGGTTGCATATTGAAATGTGTCAGTTTAGCACTGCAAACACACAGATAATAACTCTTTGCCTCAGAATTACAAAGAAACATAGTGCTGGCCAGTGGATTATCTCCAAACCAATTTGCCAGAACACCAAAAAGTTTCCTAAAAGGTCATTAACCCATTCAAGTCCACAGTGGAAGTTTTCTTTAAAGAGCGCTATGTAGGATTTAGTGGCATCCAGCGGTGTAGTTGCAAATCAAAAGTCCTTCATTTCTCTGGGGGTAACAATCTAGAACCAGTGTTTGGTTTGTCCCCTCTGGACTACTGTAGAAGCCAGGGCTGCACGATGTGATAAAGTACTCTATTACAATGCTGTCTGTCACATTTTACCTTTATCAAACAAATTGTGCAGCCCTATTCTAAGATAACGAAGACAGGGATTCCAATGTTCAGGTGATTATACACCTTATTATTATTATTATTATACACCTGAAAACATAGCTAGGAATATTCTATTCCATTTCTGACAATAGATCCTCCTCTGTGTTACACACTGGACCTTTAAGAGACATTTTATAATGTATTCCTATGGGATAAAATGATCTGTGACTAACTAAATATAGTATGACTAAACTATGGCTGTATCTCATTTAGTACAAGGCGTTGTGTCAAATGATTGGTACCACTGGATTAAGAACAACTCTGGTTTCAACAATATGTCATTAATATTGTCAATTAACATGTCAAATGAATATTATTTTTCAAAGAAGATCACCATTGTCTAACATGACAAATATGTGAAATCAAACATTTTTAATTTCATGTCTTCGACACTTTCCACCATTAACAGAACAAATTCAACAACAATACTAAATGCAGTCGTTAGGAGTTAACGGGTTAACTGTAATCTTCGATATATGCAGGGCCACAGTGAAAGGGCCACAGTGAAAGGGCCTCTTTTGCCAATGTGATGGGAAAAAAAGGATTCAGTAAGTCATTTTAATGAGAAACATTTTCACAATATTGACTTATCATCTAAAAATAATGACTTTGTGATACAATGTCATTACTAAGTCCAAATAATTGTTAGTTTGTCATTGTTTTTGATATACTATATAAGTCAAAATATTGAGTAGTTTCTCATCACAATGACTTACAGAATCTTTTTTGTCACATTGGCGGAAACGGGCTTCCATACATTGATCCTACAATAACCAGGGCTACAATAAACAGTAGCTACTGTTCAATGCTCTCCTGTTTATGTGCTCAGCCGCTGAGGGGGTTCAAACGATGCCCACACCTGGCACTCGAACGTACACAGAGCTACATTTATTAGCCCCACTCCGCATTCAGTGTAGTCAGGGGACAAAAAGCATGACATAGCTAAACTAGGTGTAGCTTTTTCGGCTACATTAGCTAGCTGGGCTACTGTTTCGTACTGTAGGTGGGAGCGACGTTACCTAATAACACATATTCATGTTTCTATTCTACTGCGAATGAAAAGGCTCCGCAGGCACAACCCAAGAATAATTCATTACGTTTTTTTGAGTTTCCAGTTAGCAGTCTAGCTAGCTAACTAGCCTAATTGGCTCAAGTCACAGCCCTTAGTTCTTTGCCCTCATTTTTGGTGAAGCAAACCCTGGAACAAAACACTGGGATCCTATGAAAATGATCCGGTGAGCCCGACTGACCGCCTGCCTTGAAACTGCCGCCTTCAAACAAAGTGTTCCCTCTCTGTAAGCACACATATTCATTATGATATGAAAGAATACTCACTGTTCTCCAGGAAAGCAAATGTTGCACCGCTGGTTAGTGGGCGCAGCACGGCTCGTAGGGAACAGAAGCCGCAGGCTGGCTTTCAGCTAACGTTATCAAAGCGGGCTGGAAAGGTTCAGTACAACAGTGACAGGCGGTCAACCAGCGACCCCTGCTGGACAAACAGTGACGCTACAGCCTGACTGCTGCACGACTGTACACAGCATTGGCTCCCAACCTTTCTCCTGAAGGGACCCCTCTCTATCATTGGGTAAACTGAGTCAGCAATGGGTTCCTGGTTAGCTCAGTTGGTAGAGCGGGCCACCCGGGTTCGAATCGTGTTGTCATCCCCTCTCTCTCTGCCCCTCTTTCCTCTCTATCTTCGGCTGTCACTATCAATAAAGGCAATAAAAGGCCAAAAAAGTAACAATAAAAAAAAACTGGCTCAGTGACGTATTTTATGGATATTTCATATTATATTCAGTGGATAACAATAACAGTAGAGACAACTGGACACCCCATTAATATTTCTCTAGTCTGGGAGAAGAAAATACTGAATTCGAATTAAAAATTAAAAAAGTACAGACAGAGAATTGTATTAAAGTTCCAAAAAAATATGAGGAAAACTCATCTCTGATCAATATTCACAGGAAATAATCTGCTCAAAATTCATCCTAATCTCTGGTTTTACACAAACTTCCTGCAGTTATTGTGTTCACCTTTTGAGTTCATTGTACAGGTTTATCAGTTGGTGGCATGGAGTCTTTAAGGAGTGGCAGAAATATATACTGATTTAATCAAAAACAATCTCATATATCAATATTTGCTTGGAAAAGCCTCCAAATGAAGATATTTGAACAAACATCACATTATTGTGGCACATTAGCAAATATAGAAATATCTGAAGGTGGCATTAGAAATCATTAATTTGTTTTATTTCCAAATATTTTCATTTGTCCAAATACAAGCCTTTTTTCATTGATCTTAAACCACATTCTAAAATGTGGCCATAACAGATCATTAAATTATATGTATTCATTTATATGATTTGTAAAAGTAATCTAAATTAATGTGTTAAATTTGATAGAATTTGACACCAAGTTGTGGTGGCCACCCCTCTGGATCCACACCCATCCCTGAAGCTTGGACATTG